TCTTTATAAATATCAAAGTTTCAAAGAAATTGAGATTAAAGTTGTCAACTCTTTATTAATTAAATATACCGTAAATACTGTAATAGTACCCCACCGCCATAATGACGGTGCGGCGTGTTGCGTAGTCTAGCTTTGGACGAGTTTTTCTCGACACTAGTTTATGCTACAATGCGCGCGTAGGTATCAAAAAATAGCTGAAATTCAGGGCTATTTTTTTGATACCAAAGACGCATTTTTTGAAAGTATGGATGCTTTGCAAAAAATGAAATACTAAAAAACTTTTGCGACTACGCGACTGTACGAGAGGGGTGGGGTACTTACGTACTTACGTACTATTAGAGTATTTACGGTATGTTTCAAATTTATGAGCTTAAAGTCTGCTAGGGTAAATTTATTAACTCTAACGATAGATTTCGTTCGATGGTTACAAAATGTTGAAGCAAATATTTTCTTATTTTTATAAAGCTTAAAATTTGCAAAATATTTTTATGGTTTCTTGTTTTTTAGGCGTTTGGAGTGCGTGGGTGAACAATGGAACGTGTTCGGCGACGTGTGGAATTTGCGGGACGATTCCACAATATCGCACTTGTCTCTCCGAAGATTGGGGCTGCAATTGCACGTGGGTTTTTGAAATTTAAAATATTGCAGAGTTCAAAACAATTTGGCTCGCTGGGGCACTAAAATAAAAGCATTCGTACTCGTTGCCCTAGAACTTGTCGCCTTAGAACTTGTTGCCTTAGTACTTGTTGCCTTAGTCTTGTTGCCTTAGAACTTGTTGCCTTAGTACTTGTTGCCTTAGTGCTCGTTGCCTTAGTGCTCGTTGCCTTAGTGCTCGTTGCCTTAGTACTCGTTGCCTTAGTACTTGTTGCCGTCGGGACCATCCAAATTAAACCTTCCTTTACAAAATTCTTTTTTTCTAAATGGAAAATCTAAAGAGAACCCAAAATTTTGCAAATTTTTAGCTCAGCCTTAGCTTTAGCGTCCAGCCATTCACGAGAAACAGCCGTGACTCAGCATTGAGTCCCGTGGTCTAAACGGGTAGCCAAGCGTGACTCAGCATTGATTCCCGTGGTCTAAACGGGTAGCCAAGCGTGACTCAGCATTGAGTCCCGTGGTCTAAACGGGTAGCCAAGCGTGACTCAGCATTGAGTCCCGTGGTCTAAACGGGTAGCCAAGCGTGACTCAGCATTGAGTCCCGTGGTCCAAACAGACAGCCAAGCGTGACTCAGCATTGAGTCACGCGGTCGTTTATGTGTTAATCCTCGAAATCAGTAAAACCTGAAAATATTATAGGATTCTAATTCTGAACTATCAACTTAGTTAATATCGAAATTTCAGCGGCAATGCTGCTCGCGTGAAAACTTGTCCCAATGTTCTTTGCACCACCGGCGCCGAGTGTTGCAATGGGAAATCGGCGGTAAGTTATAAAAGAATTTCAATAAAAGGTTCAATTTTCAACTAATAAATCAAAGCTAAATCAATAACTATTTTAATTTAATTTTTTTTGTCATTTAGTAACCAATTAAGGTAACCAATTTGCAAACGAACACCGAAATTTGCGGTGTCGTCATCCCCGACGATCCCGTCTACAGCCAACCGTGTCGTGAGTTTCAAAATTTGACTAATCAAAAAGATTTTCCATTTTTTAGTTATACAGTTGGAGTGAAAAGTAAAAGCTCTTTTTATTGAAGCTCTTTTCTTTCTTTGAAATTCTTTAGAATTCTTTAGAATGCGCCACTTGCAACGCAGGAACGATGACCAAAGTCGTCGCTTCGCCCTATTCACCGTTTACTATAAGTGGGTTCAAAATTCCAAAATTGGTTACCTAAATGAGCGGAAAACCTTTCGAATGAAGATCTTTTCAAAAACCAATCAATTTCCAGCGACCGTCAACAAGAATGGATGCTATCGATACATTGCTAAGTGTACATCAATCACTGGACACCCAGCGAATATTGAGGTATCCTGGGAATATTTAGCTTTGATTATCTGGTGTCTTTGACTTTAATAGTAGGCTAGATATAGTCTAATATATAATATATCGAATGTTGAACGCCTGTAGAAATTTGGCTTTGGCTTGGCTCTGGGATGTTCCAACTGGGCTCAAACCAAGCAAGACAAGGCCAAAGGCCAGCACAATGGTCAGGTCAGAAGCCGGGTTCAGGTCTGGCTTTTGTTTTTGCTACGAGCCTGACCTAGGTACTTGTTATGGGCCAAAACCTAGCTTCGAACCTTGTCTTTCCTTGCTTGAGGCTTTGAAATCAACCTAGTTCTGGTCCGAGATCTAATCTGACCTAATCTGATCACACTTTGCTAGATCTAGCAAAATTTTGCAAGTTGCGAGATTTGGGAGTTAGTCGGGTCCACACCTAGCAAGTTAGCAGCTAGCAAGTTAGCAGCTAGCAAGTTAGCAGCTAGCAAGTTAGCAGCTAGCAAGTTAGCAGCTAGCAAGTTAGCAGCTAGCAAGTTAGCAGCAGCAAGTTAGCAGCCAGCAAGTTAGCAGCCAGCAAGTTAGCAGCCAGCAGTTAGCAGCCAGCAAGTGCAGCCAGCAGTGCGCAGCAAGTTGCAGCCAGCAAGTTGCGCAGCTGCGCCAGCAGTTGCGCCAGCTAGTTGAGCTAGCAAGTTGCAGCTACAGTTAGCACCTAGCCAGTTAGCAGCTAGCCAGTTAGCAGCTAGCCAGTTGCAGCTAGCCAGTTAACAGCTAGCCAGTTACCAGCTAGCCAGTTAACGCGCCGTTGCAGCAGCCAGAACAGCGCCAGTAACAGCAGCCAGTTAACAGCTAGCCAGAGCAGCTAGCCAGTTAACAGCAGCCAGTAACAGCAGCCAGTTAACAGCAGCCAGTTAGCAGCTAGCCAGTTAGCAGCTAGCCAGTTAACAGCTAGCCAGTTAACAGCTAGCCAGTTAGCAGTTAGCAAGTTAGCAGTTAGCAAGTTAGCAGCTAGCAAGTTAGCAAGTTAGCAGCTAGCAAGTTAGCAGCTAGCAAGTTAGCAGCTAGCAAGTTAGCAGCTAGCAAGTTAGCAGCTAGCAAGTTAGCAGCTAGCAAGTTGCCGAGTCTGCACTTGAAATCTAGTATCTAGTATTTTGCTAGTTACTAGACACGACTTGCTAGTTGCAAGTTGAAAGTTGAAAGTGTTAACCCGAGTCCTGGTTTGACCCTGGAGTTGGCCTGAGATGCTGCCCTGAGATGCATTCCATTTTCAGTTCAACGACGGGGATAACGGAGTGAAGGCCGGCACACCGGGTATCCAAGTGAGCATTGATTGCGCGTCGGACGGCTCGGGTTGGCAGTACACATTGGGCAATGCAACAGTGTCCATTTCATCAATCGGATGTCTCGCCGTCACTTGTGATAACTCGCCTCAATATTGCTAATCGAAAAAGGAAAATCTGATTCTATTGTGAAGCTTTTCCCGCAAAAAAATTGTTTTCTGTAAGCTCGAGTCTCTAATAAACCCAAAATGAGAATTTATGTGATTTTTCTAAAACTTCAACGAGATTTAAAGAGTAAATTTTGTGAATCAAATTGATACACGATTACAAGACTGGATTTTACAGTCTACAAAGAAATTTTCACTTGTAAGCTTGAGTAAGACTATATTTATGCTGTTTTTTTGTTTTTTTTTTTTTTTTTTTCTTTTTTTTTTTCTGTTTTTTTTTCTGTTTTTTTTTCTGTTTTTTTTTCTTCTTTTTTTGCTGCTTTTATGCTGCTATTTATGCTGCTATTTATGCTGCTATTTATGCTTTTCTGCTAAAGAATAAGAAAATCGAGTGATTGTGAATTGCTTTGAGCTAAGAACTCAAAAAGCAAGTTGAAAAATGCTCTTTATTGAGTAGGCAATTGCTTAGATTGATCTGATGTCTGACTGCTGGCGACGCCGTTGCTTGACATTGCCCGTGGCTGACGCCGGCTTGACTGCTGTGCGCGCCGTTGTCTTGCGCCGTGGTCTTGCGCTCAGTTGCTGCTTGCTGGCGCGCCGGCTTGCTGCTCGTGGCTTGCTCCGTGCTTGCTGCTGTTGTCTTGACTGCCGTTGTCTTGACTTGCTTCGTGGTCTTGCTTGCTCAGTTGTCTTGACATTGCTTGTTGTCTTGACATTGCTCGTTGTCTTGACATTGCTTCGAATGGTCTTGACATTGCTCAGATTGATCTTGACATTGCTTAGATTGATCTTGACATTGCTCAGATTGATCTTGACATTGCTCAGATTGATCTTGACAAATCAAGAAGACAAGACTGATCAGTGAAAACTGGAAAATCTAAATCCACTTGAATCCAGTGATTTGACATTAACAACAGCTCTTGCAAATGAGTCGAGTGCGATTGTCAACTAATCTTGTGATTGTCGAGTGCGATTGTCAACTTAAGATCTTGTGAATTCACGAAAGATATTAAAAGACACAAAAAGTTAATTGGAAGTAAAACTAGAAGCAGGATGTAATTTTTGTTTGAAAGATGGCATATTTTAAAAAAGAAACCACGCTCTGGATTTAAAAAGCTGCTTAAAACTTAAAGCTTAAAAACCAAGACATTAACGATTAGCAGGAAAGTGATAAAGTACCAAATTTGAAACACGACTTTTGGCTTTTTGGAATTTTTAAAAAATACATTGATTCATACGAATAATATGGTACAAACGATACACGGCGTTGGTACAAACAATACACAATGCCTAGGCCCTAAATGTAGGGGAAAAAAGAACTAATCCAGCCGGTAGATTGAACCTATGACCTCCCGACTAAGAAAAAGGACTCTTACCCAATTGGAAAGGACTCTTACCCAGGCGGCGTTGGAAACCTGTTTTTACAACTTTGACACGCTCTAACGTATTAAATTTGAAACGTATTAAATGTTGATGTTTTAAACCAATTAAAGGTTAATGTTTTAAACTTATTAAACGTTAATGTTTTAAACGTACTAAACGTTAATGTTTTCATGATTTATCAATTTCAAACACTTTATTCCTGTGTTCATAAACTTTTGAGCATGAAACGAAGAATTTCTAGTGATATTCATATCCATAACCGTAATGATCGTGATGATCATTGTGATGTGGCTCGTAGTGGTGACCTGAAACTTGCTTTTGCAAAAAATTAAAGCCCCTTTGCTAATAAACTTTAAATTCAAACAAGCCAAAGTGATTAAAGAGAACGCCGCTTTCGCTTTTAACGCCTAGCGCCTAACGCCTAGCGCCTAACGCCTAGCGCCTAACGCCTAGCGCCTAGCGCCTAACGCCTAGCGCCTACTCGAAACTCGAACGAACTAAACAAATCAAATCGTTAAAAACTCTGGAAGTTTTCTTATTGTTTGAAGAATATTTTAGGCAACTAATGAATAGTTGAGACTAATGAATAGGCAACTAATGAATAGTTTTCCTTCTTTTGCACAAAGTTATAGTTTACTGTGACTGTGTCCATATTGCGTTAAAATGTCTTCAAAAGAAATGCAATTAAAAACAATTTCACTGCTGCACTTCTGCACAAGACTTGAAACTTTATATTGCTTAATCAAATTGTTTACTCATTAAAGTTTACTCATTAAAGTTTTCCTGTTGCTAAAAACTGTATAGAATTGCAAAAGTCACCGTTTCCATAAAATGGCTGTCCGTATCCGTGCGAGTAGTGCTTGTTGTAGCCCGAATAGTAGGGAGCTAAAGTTAAACTATTTTAGTATTTCTCTATCTGTAAAGCTTGGATTTAATATTCAGAAAATATTGGTAATCTGTCAATTAACAAAATTTGGGCAAAATTTAACAATTGACTTTACTCTGAGAGTAGACTGAGACTTGAGACTTTAACAATTGCTTTAACAATTGATTCGCTGAAAACTTACAATAGTTTGAGTCGTGGTGAGAGTAGGGAGCTGAAAAGAAAATATTTGAAAGGATAAGCTTTAAGATTTGAATCTAAAGCTTAGGCTTAGGCTTAGGCTTAGGCTTATGCTTAGGCTTAGGCTTAGACTTAGGCTTAGGCTTAGGCTTTGGCTTTGAGACTTTGGCTGAAAACTTGTTACATTCTTTTAGGCCGCAAGTTGCTCAAAGGTTTTAGTTTCAAGTTTACAGCATTTCCATTGTACTTTCGACATTGTACTTTTTGTACAATGACGAAAGTTATTTTCATAAATTGTCTAGTGTGTTTGTAAAGGTTGTAAAGTTGAATTAGGTTGAGGAAAAAGTTCTGACTCAACCTCAAATTCAATTTTTATGCATTTTTGCTGGTTTTTCGCGCTTATAGTGTTTTATCAATCTTCATCTTTGTATTCCAGATGAGTTTGCAAGAAAAAGAGCTTCGAGTTTCGATTCGCTATTGCTGGAAACGGAAACTTTCGACAAGTGATGCCGTGGAAGAGATTTACGATGCTGAAGATGAAAGAACTTTAAGTAAATCAAAAGTTTCAAGATAGTACAGGAGCTTTGATTCCGATGACACGAGCCTTGAAGACGGTCGACTTCGACTTCGACTTATCTCGTTTCGGTCGACCGCCAAAGTTGGATGATAGTGACTCAAATCATTTGAAAAAGTTGAAGAAGTTGAAGAAGCTTGCCAAGAGTTCTTTGATTCGAAACCGGAGTGGTATTCGAAGTGATGCTTCGACGAGATCCGAAAGCTTGCAGATCGATGGCAGAAAGTCGTAGATCATCGATCGTAGCTCATCGATCGTAGCTCATCTACGACTTTCTGTCATCGATCTGCAAGCTTTCGGATCACGTTTGGTTCGGATTGGTTATATTTTGCGGAATAATGTTATTTTTTTTATTAAATTGCGAATAAAAATTGAATTTTTCGCAGCTGAGCCAGGACTTTTTCCTCAACCTAGTTATATACCCAAAACCTACAATAATCCTGATGATGGGCATCATAATGCGATGGAGAGTAGTGATAGCCATAGCCATAGCCATAATCATCTAAAAACTCTATTTCAAAGCATTATACATCCAGCTAACATGCTTTTAATCAAGCTTGACCAGGATAACTAATTGCAATCATTGAATTTCATCAATTTCATTAAGAAATGATCAATGCTTTCAATGGTTTTTCTATCAAATTGACAAGAAAGGCTTTGCACAGATTTGAATTGAAATTTCTTAAAAACGATTTCACTAATTCAAGAACACTTTGTTCTATTATTTACAAGTTGACTACAAGAAATTACTCGTAAAAAATGAGTGCAGCTTTCCCGTAAAATTTTAGAGATTTTAGAATTTTTTGGTGATTTCTATTTGATGCAAATTCTTGATCTTAACTTGATCAATTCAGATTTTTTTCTATGAAAAGTAATGTCTAAGTTTTACAAGTTGAATTGTACAGCTTTTAAAAAAGTACGTTTTGTACAGTTGAAAGTACGGTTTCAACTTAAATGAAGAAAAATCGACATTCTAAAGCTTAGTGTTGATCGGTTTTACAGTGTTTACAATGCTTACGATGCTTACAATGCTTCAAAATCAATTTCTCCTGAATTTACATTTTGATTTCACTTAAGCCCAAGCTTGATCCAAATATTTTCAAAACTTTAGCCAACTCACCATCGTGGGGCGCGTACTCGTTGTGATCGCCGTAATGTGTGCCTAAACTTTTACAAGTTTCAAGGCTTATTTCTTAATCATTTAGTAAATAGTCTACACAATCGACTCAAAAGTTTTAGGTTTTTTTAGCATTCACCCCAAGTTTTCCCGTACGATGTTCCCTTTGCGTATTTCCCTTCTCCTCCATATTTGTAAGCTCCCTCCACGTGGTGACTTCCCGATTCGTAGCCTGAGTCTAAAAATATAAAATTATTTCAATTTGGTCTGATTGTTTGGTCTGATTCTGTGATTTAGCCAAAACTTGGATATTAACTATTAACAAGAGCCATTAACTATTAACAAGAGCCTATTGTAAAGCCATTAACTATTAACAAGAGCCTATTGTAAAGCCATTAACTATTAACAAGAGCCATTAACTATTAACAAGTGCCATTAACTATTAACAAGAGCGCCAAATTTAAAACTCGACTTTTGATTTTTCGGTATTTAAAATAAGAACAGACACAATTAAAATATGTTCCTCTTAAATAATTCGTTTTCTAAGACGATAGATTAGATAAAATTAGAGTCAGATTACAGTAGTTGAGAAAGCGGAAACGTTTTCGAAAAACACTTTTAACAATAGTGAGTCGAATCAGCCTTTTCGGCTAGACATTAGCAATCGTACCGTATTCTTTCTTGTAATCATTGTAATCATGCTCGTCGTGGTGATGATCATCGTAGTGGGGGATTGCTGAATTGGGTTTTAAAACTGAATTGTATTCGATTGAATAAGTCTTTTCGTTTTTTTTCGTATTTTCATTTAAAAACAACAAATACCCAACCTGAATGAGGACATTTTTTAGAATGAGAATGAGGACATTTTTCTGTGAACAATAGCGACTTACTAGTGAAAGTAAAGCTGTCAACTTTGAAACCCAATCATTCTCCTCACTCACCTCCTGCTCGCACTCCAACAATAACGACGAGAAAAACGATGAGTTTTCTCTGCATTTCGTTGATTTCTTAAGTAAATATGTCTGATTTTTCAGCAATTCATCTTCTCTTTTATACTCGACAAATTTTGTGGAATTGAAAAGAAAAAGACGATTTTTTTGCAGCAAAATGAGGGCAGTCTTTGTGTGAATTGATATGAGAAATTTGCGAATAGAAGAATGAAAAAATAAAAGAATTTTTGCGTCTTTATATTCTTCTCATCAAAAAACTAGGAAAAAGAGGAATTCCGAAGATCTTATTGCACTAGTTTATTGCACTTATCTATGAGAAAGCCAAGTTTGAAATTTGAAGTCATCTGATGAAGCTCCAGCTTTGTTTTGACTGACTGTTTTGACTGTTTTGACTATTTTGACTATTTTGACTGACTGTTTTGACTATTTTGACTGTTTTGACTAACAATTGACTTTGTTAGGTCAATTTTTTACGTAAACATTGGGTATTTTAGTTAAAAAAAAGACTTCAATGCCCTAGAAAGAATATGTTTACATCGTGCACAGAGCACGTTTGCATGAGCACAAAGTACACGAGCTCACTCATTTCAAAATCCTTGTTTCAAATTGTGTCACTTTAAGATGAAAAACTTGCAACTGATGACGGGCAGTTGTTTTTTTTCAAAAACAATACTCAATCCAGCTTGCCAGCCAGCCGTCCAACTCTTTTGATCTTTCAAAACGCGCGAAAAGTTTCAAAAAAACGCTTAGTTAACATTTCTCTTTTGATTCGATTGACCTCGATTCACAACTGCCACTCGTTTTCCCCATTTCCCCCAATCCCATATGTTCTCCCCATTCAAAAGATCCTCATTTTCTTTGTCTCACCATCACTTTTTCATTTCTTGTATACTTTTTAAAATCCTTTATAGAATTGCGTTACTTTTCGAATCATTTTAAGCTAAAAATTCGTTATTTTATGATTTTTTCATTTCCCAGCGTACTTTGTGTGTACTTTGTGCTTCTTCAGTGTACTTTGTGCTCGAAACTGTAAACGCATCCTCTTTTCCACACCAAGTTCTCCATTTTTCTTCTAGAAACGTTTTGATTTCCCGAGAACAAGTGTTATTTCTTAGAATAATTTTGTTTCTCCAATGATTCATTTCATATTACTAGTTTCGAAGTTAAAGTTTTACTTGTTCCGTTTTACTTGTTTTATCAGTGCTTTTTTAATTTTTATTTTTTATCAATGCAACAACAAATAACCATTTTTTTTTAGAATCACAAACAATGCGAAACCATTCTCGTTCACCGATTCCCGAGGATCCGCGAAATGACACGAAAATGAGGACGAATCCACAAATGAGCGTTTTCACTGGCGAAAGGGAGAATAGCGAGAATGAGTGAGTGCTTAATGAAGTTTTGGGGGAGTGGGACAAATGCGACCTTTTTTTCCGCACCTTGCCCATTAGCGCACCTTTTTTCGCGTTTTAAAAAAGCTCTAAAAAGCTAATATTAACCAATTTCTATTCCAAATTTTGTTTTTCTAGGTAATTTGAGGGTGTCGAATTCAAATTTTAACATAACAGAGCGTGTGGAACCAATTTGAAAGACAAAACGGCTAGATCAAATTACAGAAAATTGTCGATCTTTCTCTTTGTATAACTGCGTCCGTTTGTTTCCACAAGCTCTGATATGTCAAAATTTCGATTCTACGTCCTAAAATTACCTAGAAAAACAACTTTTGGAATAGAAATTGGTTAATATTAGCTTTTTAGAGCTTTTTTAAAACGCGAAAAAAGGTGCGCTAATGGGCAAGGTGCGCAAATGTCCGGGTGCGCAAAAAAAAAAGGTCGCATTTGTCCCACTCCCAGTTTTGGTATACAGGGTGTTCAATATTTATGGAGACCAGTAGATTATTACGTTTAGAGCTCATTTTGTACAAGTTTAATGCTTAAAAGGGAAACACTTATCAATACGCCCAATTTTAACAACTTTAAGTTACTTTTTTCAAAATCACTGCCTTTTGCGCTGTTGTTTGCTTAGAAGCACGTGTGGAAAGCGCCTATCGCAGCCTTTTGGTGAAATTTGATCGGATAAATTGAGTTTTTCATAAACTTATGTTAAGTTTTCTTGAAAGAATCAAAACTAAAATGTGGTTCTAATGTTCTAAACCATTCTCGTTCACTTAACATAAGTTTGTGACAAACTCTATTTATCCGATCAAATTTCACCAAAAGGCCACGATAGGCGCTTTCCACACGTGCTTCTAAGCAAACAACAGCGCAAAAGGCAATGATTTTGAAAAAAGTAACTTAAAGTTGTTAAAATTGGGCGTATTGATAAGTGTGTTTCCTTTTTAATGTCCCGTAGATTCGAAAACTGTTAAATAGTGAAGACTTTCTCATCGTTAAATAAGAACAACTAGGTTCTGACTTCTTTTGATGAAAATTGTTGAGCGAGTTCCGATGAATCGTTTTTGGAATATAAAATTTAGTAAACTGTAAAAATAATCTAGAAAATCGAGTTTCTTCCAATTCCTATGCAGTGCTTTCTTGACGATTTTTTTTCATAAACCAATTTTGAGAGCACTAAACGACCTGCGAGCTCAAAAGTCCCCATAAATATTGAACATCCTGTAGTCATTTTTGCAAGAATTTGAGCATAAAAACTTTTGTTTTTTGAAAAGAATTGGATTGCATATCATCCATCTCTTTATTGGCAATTTAGCATCAGAGGTGTCATTGTTAAATTTGGAACACAGCTTTCTAATCAGTGTGCTAAGAATCTAAGATCAGCTAAGAATACATTGATATCAAATAGAAATCGCTCAAATTTGATTGACCTACTTTGGAGTGTGTTTAGTTTAGTGTTGTAAATTTTCAAACTTTAAAAAAATTTGTTAGATTGAATTCAGTATCTTTCTTAAGTCGAGCGAACCTTATTAATGAACTTTCAGAAGCTGACTAGATTCCAAATAGAATAGATTCCAAGCTGACTAGATTTGAAGCAATCATTTTTTGTGAAACTCGGCAACTTGAGATTTAATTAAAGATTAGATTTAATTTAGATTTAATTAAAGAATGAATTCAAAATTTTTTATAAAAGCTAAACGGTTTTAATTCCATTTTGTTTAGTTTTACAGTGGATCCAAGCTCTCTGCCCGGCGTTCACCCAATCCCGCGAGCCTTCAATCGCTACATTTTCTCGCAGCTCGAACCCGGGGAATACTATGCGAAGTGGGTCAAGAAAAGTTAAAAAAGACAATTTTTTTAATTAAAGGTTTCAATTGCATGGAGTTGTAGCTGGGATTTTTAAGAACAAATCCGCAATTCACGCCTTTTTCTTACCTTTTTATTGTTAGGCTGGAGAGAAAGTTCTTGCCGATTTCTTGGGAGAGGATCTCATCGAAGGGTAATCTACAAGTGTTAGATACCAATTTCTAGCTGAATTCAAGCCGGATTAGATGACTAACTTTTTGGTTTTTTTGAGAAAACCCAAACAAAAATTTTTTTAGGGGCTATTTTACCCAAAAAAACAGCATTTTAGGGGCAATTTCTTAGCAAAAAAAGACAGAAAGTAGGAATTTTTGTTTTTTGAGCAAAATAGAACCTAGAAAAATCTAAAATCTATCTCCCCAACCTATATAGAATCAATAATTTCAGATCATCCACCCAACTACTTGGCCCTTTCGCCAACGAACCCAACGAAAGCCATTTGCCATCGAATGAAGATTTCGTCATCATGAGGGTACCTTTCACATAAAGTATTTGAATACTGCGATTTTTTAAAAAATACTGTAAGATTCCAATAAACTCATAGTAGCTTGATCTCATTCAAGAAATGCTAGAAATGGAAAAATTTGGATCTGACCAAATTTCTCCTTTAACCCTGACGATTAATTTTTTTAAACCTATACCGGAAACAATCCAAGCTTTAAACAAGAAACTCCCAAATATTGACAAAGTTCAAAAACACATCTAAATCTTACTGAAAATGAGATTCAAAAAAATTTTAGAGAATGGCCAAACTTCCCAACGGACGATTGGCTTTTCAAAAAGTGGCCGAGGTCAAAAAATGATGCGAATGAGAAGCTGGTTTTCGAAATTAATCCCCAAATTTGAGACTTATCGAAATGTCTAAACTTAAAAGCTTTAGTGTAAATGTAATATCTTTTTCTTGCTTTGTTTTAAAATTCTGACACTTTTCACACAGGTTCACTTGATCTCATCATTGTTCTTTTGAGTATTAACTAAACGATGATTTAAATTTCATCACTAAATCACCTCTACTTGAAAACAGTCTCGTGCAAACAAATCGTCATAAACTATGCCAAAAAACAAGGAACGCACGAAAAAAAGGGAAAAGACAGGAGTCATTGAGTGATAAGATAGTAAAGAGGGGAAATTGAGAAAACGGAATCATTTTGAATCCCCCAAGCACAACACAGTCATGAGGGAAAGGCTTTATTTGAACGTGTCTCAAATTATATCTTTATTGTAAACCAGCTGACTGAATGTTTGATGTCAACGCATTGTCCCCATGGCGTAGTCGGGAGCGCGCTTGTCTACAGCCCACAAAACCCGGGTTCGACCCCCAGTAGTGCCACTCAATTTCGATTTTTTTGAATTTTTTTTGTTTTAAATGGCGCAGCTATTATATTTTAAGACTTTAAAAAAAATCTCAGTTTTTTTTGGCCCAAAAACGGCTGAAAAAAAGCCCGTACAGACGGACGGACAGACACTTCTCTTTTATATACAGGGTGGTTGAAAATTACGTGCGCCAAAGAAAATTTTAATTTAATTTTTGTTCGAAGAAAATGTAAAAATATTTATTTATATAATAGTTGTAACAAAAGCATTTAATAATTACAAGAAATTTTCGAAGTGGCCTCCATCCGCTTTGATCCAGGCTTCAATTCGCTTCTTTACAGAATCGACGGTGCGGCGGAGATAATTTGCATCTAAGTCATTCCAGATTTTGATCAATTCTCGACGTAAATCATTCAAATTTGTGATTTTCCTATTTCTCAATTGTTCTTCCATAAAACCCCAAACCGAAAAGTCCAACGGATTGAGATCCGGGCTGTTTGCAGGCCATTGATCCTTCGTCAAAAAAGAGCCAATTTTGGTTTCGAGAAAGCGAATTGTTGTTTTGGCTCCGTGGGCCGGCGCCCAATCTTGTTGAAAGGTCAAATTGGGATGGCTCCTCTTCCATGGCACCACAGCTTTCTCGAGAATCTCTTTTTGATAGACTTTTGCGTTAATCTTCACATTTTTATCGATAAAAACCAACGGGGTCTTGCCCGAAGCACTGATTCCACCCCAAACCATCAAACTTTTTGGAAACTGACCTTTTGTAGCGACTTTTCGTTTACGAGTGCTCTTGAGAGCTGGACTGAGAAGTTGACGGTGATTTTGTGAGTTTTTAGCCACTTCCAAGGTGAAAATCTTCTCATCCGACCAAAGAACATCGTCAATGCGCCGCACCTTGAAAAAAGCTCGCAATTTCTGGCATTTCTCCTTCCGGTTTTGCTTGGCTTGATCGGTGAGCACTTGACCGTTTAACAGTCGATAACTTCGAAGTCCGAGCTCATTTTTCGCTATCGATTGAACCGAGAAACGCGAAATTTAAAGCTGTTTTGCCATCTTGTTCAAACTACGATTGTCTTTTCGCTCGATCCTCCTCTTGATGATCCCACGCATCTTTCGGGTGTTAACGGTCCTCTTTTGTCCTCTTCCGGGCTTGGACTGAACATGCCCCTCATCTTTCTATTGCTTTACGATCTTCTGAACGGTCCTCAGAGCCACCCCAAGCCTCGATGCGATCGACGAGTTCTTCATGCCGCTCGTCGCCAGCTGTGCGATTGCGTCCCGACTAGCGCACGTCTTTGTCATGACCTAGAAAACAACTTTTTTTAACAAAAAATTAATAGACAACGATAAAAAGAATATTAAAACACAAAAAGATGAGTAGTAATGCTTTATACATTGTTTAAAACTATGATGTTGATGCTGCGCGCACGTAATTTTCAGCCACCCTGTATAGTAGACTGTTTAAAAAATGGCTCTTCAATAGTTTAGGGGACTTTTAGATTAGTTGTCAAGCTATAAATGTTCATAACGTTTTGCAGAGACAAGATTTTCGTTTACTTTTCATATATTTTTAATAGAAAACATTCCAGGCTTCAAACAAAGTGACTAATTTACTTAATCATCAATAATTAATTATTAATTGATTGATTGATTGGGGATAGGCTACTTTGCGCCAAATTTTTTGCGCAAAAGGGTCATTTGCCAACCGCACCGCGCGAAAGCGACGCCGTTAAACTTGTTCCGTAAGTCCGATGCGAAACCCGAATTTTGAAAGACAGCCGCCCGACAGATTTTTTAAATCGAAAATCAAAATCACTATTTTCCATATAAACGCCAATTGCCTCTTTTTACAGGCTGTCCGGAAAGGAAATTTTGGTGAGCCATATACCAAACTTTATGCCGGGTCTTGTGCACATTGACACCAAAACGGATGAATTGATTCTGCTGAAGTTGATGCCTTTTGACGCAAAGTAGTGTTTTCAACCTTCTGCACGCCAGAGCGTGGCAAACTACCGGAACTAAACAAATAACAACATGTGTTTTTGAATTTTGCTTCTTTTTTTTCTCACTTCAACAATTTTGGCTCTTTTTATTGTTTCATAATTTTGATTTCAACGAATGATTTGTGTTTTACAGGTAGAGGGTCATCAGTTGGAAACATTATGTAAACAATGAAAAGAGCCAAAATTTTGATTGAAGTGAAGAAAACAAAGAATTGCATTCATACCTTTGTTTGTTTTATTTTTGTTTTTTGTAATAGTTCCGGTAGTTTACCCACGCCTGCGCGCAGAAAGTTGAAAAACACTACTTTTGCGTTCAAAGGCATCACTTCACAGATTCACCCAATTGATCCGTTTTGGTGTCAAAGTGCACAAGACCCTGAGCATAAGTTTGTATATGACCTCACCACTCCTCGCCGAGAACCAGCCTGAAGAGAGGCAATTTTGTCGTTTATATAGAATGTGTTTTTCGATTTTTTGATTTAAAATCGTCAGACGGTTCGAAATTCTTTCACTTGATTCAGGACATTTTTTCGCATCGAATAGCACTTTCTTGAGCAAATTTAACGGCGATCGCATTTTTCGCCTTATTTCGCGCGGACGTGAACTGGGTCTTTTGCGCAACTCGCCATAACTTTCTTCTAAGTCGGCCAATCTTTTTGTTTTGGATTTTGGTTTTATTTTGTTGCACTTATTGAGATCTACAAAATGAAACCAAAATTGTAAAGATTGGTTCACTTAGAAGAAAGTTATGGCGAGTTGCGCAAAAGACCCAGCTGCGCAAATGACCCTTTTGCGCAAATAAAATGGCGGAAATTAGCCTACCCCATTGATTGTCATTGTTTGTTAATTGTCAATAATTAATCATCGATAATTAATTAATTTAGTAATTAATTACCCAACCAATCTTTGCTTACTTTGCTTTGCTTACTTTGAAACAAAGTTTCTCAATTCATTTTTTTACGGTTTTTGTTTCTAACCCTGATTTAGCTGACATTTAGCTTTAAATTTTAATTTTTTAAGGAAAAAAAATGACTGAATCAATCGATCTACTTGTTGAGGGAGCTAAATTGACAAAGAAATGGCTATCGGAAGTGATGGAAACACATTTCGATGAACAGCCGACCGTTAAAGAGGTAATTTTTTTTAGAGATATTGAAACATTGTCGACAAAATAATAAGATTGGAATGGTTTTTAATCGATTTTGCAGGTGCTACTGCTTTTGATTTATTTAGAACCATAGAAAATGCGAAATTGAGGAAAAATTTCGTTTCTGAAAGCCGTAAAAGGTTGCAAAATTGTTTTTAAAGCCGATGAACCTAGGCAAAAGTATAAAAAGTAATGCATTAGATCAAATTTCAAACTAAATTGTTATAGGATATGTTTGCTAATTAATATCAAACAAAATTTCTCAATGCCACTCGAAAATTGTCAATTTTTAGGTGTCCTGTCTTGGCCCAGAGACGCTCGGCTACATGTCAACGATGAGACGAGTGCATTTGCAATGGGAGAATCCAGCTGACAAACCAACTTCCGTTATTATAAAGGTCATTTTAAAGGTTTAAAATATTCCTTCTAAAATAAAATAGCTTCTAGAGTCGGTGGTTTTAAAACAAAAAAACACAGTTTCTTTTTAGTTGCCCAATGTGACCGTTGCATCGGAGGCGTGGAGCAAATCGGCGGAGAATGGCCACGAAATGGACGACTATGGTGGTGATGTGATCACGATGATGCACAATTGTGAAACGAGCGTCTACAATTGTCTATCGAAATGTGAGTTACCCATTTTAAAAAAAAACTCCTTTGCTCAGGCTTAGGGTTTGGCTGTCTAGAAAGTCTTTTCGTTCTTTTTTGTACTTTCGTTTAAAATCAACAAATGCACCAATTGAACAATGGTTTCTTTCATTAGAAAGGTTCATTAGAAAGTCCAATCATTTCTCTGCAAAATAACATTAAAACAGGTTTCAAATGGTTATGTGTGGATTTTTTTGGGAGCGTGAAGTCGGGTAGTCAAAAAGTCGGCTTGATGATGCGGTTTAGACACTTTAGCTAAAGAAACTTATCTTCATGTCAGTAAATAAAAGATAGAGCACAAAAAGTTTAGTATATAGTCAAATTTTCAGAGAAATTCATTCAACCAATTTCTTCTTAGAGGTTTTTATAGATTTTTCTACGAAAAACACCCCCAATGCGAAAATGGACCCAAATTGCCCTAAAAAGATGAAAATTGAACAATAAACACTTTTTATTTAGAGAAAATCATAGATTAATTGGTAAATTTGTTGTTTTTCAATGAAAGTACGAAAAAGAACGAAAAGATTTTCTCGGCAGCTTAATAGAAAGTCTTTTTGACAGCTTTTTGACACATCTTTTTGGAAAGCCGTTAAAAATCTTGAGTTTCACCTCAAATTGGATCTAAGGGAACGTTTCAGTGGGAGTGGGACAAATGCGACCTTTTTTTTGCGCACCTGGACATTTGCGCACCTTTTTTCCGCACTTAGCCCATTAGCTCACCTTTTTTCGCGTTTTAAAAAAGCTCTAAAAGCTAATATTAACCAATTTCTATTCCAAAAGTTGTTTTTCTAGGTAATTTTAGGGCGTAGAATCGAAATTTTGACATATCAGAGCTTCTGGAAGCGAACGGACGGAGTTATACAAAGAGAAAAATCAACAATTTTCTGTAATTTGACCTAGCCGTTTTGTCTTTCAAATTGGTTCCACACGCTCTGTTATGTCAAAATTTGAATTCGACACCCTCAAATTACCTAGAAAAACAACTTTTGGAATAGAAATTGGTTAATATTAGCTTTTAGAGCTTTTTAAAACGCGAAAAACAGGTGCGCTAATGGGCTAAGTGCGGAAAAAAAGGTGAGCAAATGTCCGGGTGCGCAGAAAAAAGGTCGCATTGGTCCCACTCCCCAAATTGGATCTAAGGGAACGTTTCAACTTTAATTTCAATGTGTGTAAGGGTAAATGAGTTCTTTTGCACCCCCTATTCAATCGAATGTCTTTGAATTTGCTAGTAGTTGACAAATTGCATATTTTTTCAAGTTTAAATGGCCAAAATGACCTTATAAATCCCATTTCTAGTTTCCATTTCAATTTCCAGACTACCATTTCTAACCTTGATTCAAATTTTTCTGATTTTGATTTCTGAACTTATTCATGAAAAATTTTGAAATTTTTAAGCTGAATTTTCTGAACTATTTTCAAATTTTCAAAGTTTTTATTTTAAAGCAATAAAAGTTTATTGCCTTATTATCGAAGTTGTTCACGTTAATGATTATCAGAATTTAGATCCAGAATTCCGTCTCTCGATTCCTTTCCTGTACTCGGCACTCGACGTCTCAACTGGAACACCAATCATTGTCATGGAGGATTTGGAGAAAGCTATCACTTTTGATGTCGCTGAGGGATTCAATGAGAAACAAGTGTGTTATTTTAAAAATTTTGTAAATTTTTCGATATTATAACTCCTCGACACTAGGCATGGGCACTACAAACTAAAAGCCCTTCTAATTTACTTCAAATATTCTAGATTGGCATGATTTTTAGCTCAAAAAATAGAGAATCTCAAGAGCTTTCGAATGGGCTAAAGCACACCCAAAAATATCAATGCTAAAGGAAGTTACAGCGTTTAGGGCTGATAAGAAAGATAAGAAAGTTTAGGGCTGATATTTTTGGGTGTGCTTTGGTTCATTCGAAACCTCCTCAATTTTTTTGTGCTACAGATCATGTCAATCTAGATTTTTTAAAGTAAATTAGAAGCATTTGTAGTATGAAAATTCGTCAATTTTGTAGTTTATAGTGCCCATGTCTACTCGACACTAATAACTAAATGGATAGCTCATCTTTGAGATCAATCTGGTTTCAAAACTGACATTTTAAAACACTGTTTCTCCAAATCCGTGTTTCAATCCGGTTAACATCAAGTAAACCTGGGAATTTCCAATGAAATAATTACCATAATGCATTTTCTTTTAAGTAGATTGAATAAATTTAGATAGAATTGTGCTTAAAAATTTCATTTATCGTTTTCTTTTTTAGCTATTCGCCATTGTTGACGAACTGGTGAAATTGCACGCGCTTAGCTACAAGTACGATGAAGTGAAAAACTGTGGAATCAAAGAGGTTCGGCAAAAAGTCAAAAATAATTAACATAAACTTTAAGATATAACACATATTTTTAGCATTAACCAGTGCTTAGAAATGATTAAAAAATGATGAAAAATCGGCTATTTTTTGTCATTTTTCAATCAGTTTGTTCTAAGCACTGGTTAATGCTAAAAATATGTGTTATATCTTAAAAAATCATCCATTCTTTCTACTTTAATTTGATATCTAAGCGTGTAGAAACAAACGTACTGGTGTCAAGATATGAGCCTTTGTTTGAGGGTAAACTTAGACTTGGCGACGCTCCTATAGGGACTCTTCTATCAGAGTTTTTATGGTATATGTGAAGGCAATTATGATAACCAATTGTCAATCGTGTCACATTTTATCCCTAGATATTTTAGGATCATATTTTAAGCTATTAATTTTTGTTTAAACTCGCGCAATAGCACTGTTTAAATATGGAATCGAGTATAGAGAAAAAAGTTGAGTTTCAAATGTGTTCCGGTTAGCAATAGACGATCGAAATTAATCGATCTGACATGCATGCGCTTTTAAACTAAATCTAAACAAATCTTATATTCAAAATGACTTTTTAAAGCTTTTTTAAGATTTTTAAAAGCACAAGCCATTTTTCAGTCAACTCTGACTCACATGGAACAATTCCAGAAGTTGGTACTCGGAGTCGCGGAGCAATTGTACAAGGTTTGGGGAAAATCGAGTTATTCTATACTTTAAACATTAATGATTAATTAAAGTTAAAACTAGAAATTAACTGACTTAGCCTAAAATTTAAATTAGTTGCTTAAGAAATCTCAATCGCGAATAGCCGCACACATTTGCTCGATGAGCTGCCCAAAATTTGAAACCTAACTTTTTGTGAGCTGCTATTCGAAAATTAAAAATCGTCAAATTCTTAAAGTTCGTCATTGCATTATTTTCTTTCTCGAGGACATTTATTAACTTTTTGTCCTTTTTCCTTTCCGTCAAAGTCAAATCCTTTTTCCAGCAAAACCCCGAATACCTTGCCTCAGTGGATGTGTTGATTCGAAATCATTTGACGAAAGACTGGTTTCAAGATCTTTTCGAGGCGATCAAAAGCGGTAATTTTATTAAAAAAGCATAAAATTTCCAAATTTTCACGACTATGGATCGAACTTAGAATACTGATTCAATAATAAAGAGGTTTCTAGTCAAAAATTCATTCAATAAAGCTATTTGGATGGTTTTGTATGTTTTGTAGTTAAATGTTTCAAGTCTAGAAGCAAAATTTAGGTAATTTTAGATAAGGATAGATAAGAAATTTTCCATTTGATTTATAGACTAGCTAGTAATTAGTTTGTTTGCTTTTGGAACTTTTGATGCTTTATGTTTCAAATTCAAAATCAGAATTTGTTTCCTAGACTGGCTTAAGCCTACTGTTAATCTACAAGCCCTGTTTCATGATAGATTATTATGTTATAAAGATATGTTTATACCGTAAACTTTAGCAAAAAAGCTATAAAACTATGTAATATTTAATCCTTTATCAGATCCGAACACCGTCCTATGCCATGGAGATCTGTGGTCACCACAAATTTTGTGGAAAGCCGAGAAAATCGCTGCGATCGTTGATTGGGCGCTGTGCAAGGAGGGACCGGTGGTGAGATTTTTTAAAAGATTAAAGCATTCGAACGCGAATACTCGAATAGTTTAGTCGAATAACGGTAAATGTTCACGATTAATTGCTTTAGAATCTTAAAATTGAATCACCTGGTCCAAATGTAAATCCACGCTTCGATATGACCATTAGGCATAAATCAACTCGCTTTAATATAGAAAACTTGAAACACACTCTTTCTGAAGTTCTTTTTTATGGATTATAAGTAAAAGAATGGTTTGATGGCCATTGAATTGACCGACTTTGATCAAAAGGCGTTAAGTTTGCAACTTTAAATTTGAATCTCTTTAAATTTGAGCTTTAAATTTGAATCAGTCTCAAATTGCTGATGTTTATTCAAATTTCTTGGATCATTTTTAGAAATAGTAGATTATACATGAAAAGGGGACTTTCTGGAGTCATTTTGGGTAATAATCAAATTCAAACGTACTCAACTTGTCAACGAGTAAATTTTGAATGATAAACTACCAAGTCAGATCAATTATAGCATGCTGGCTGGGTTGTTTTTTTTTTAATTTTACGAGTTAACTGTTATTAACTCGACGGTACACGATTTCAATCAGTACACTTTGAAACTCAATTTTTTTTCCTCAAAAATTCTAGCCTTCTTATTCGTTTTTTTGATTAAAGATCAAATCAAATTCAATTATTACTAATGCGTAAACTCTTTGAATTTGTAAATTTGAATTTGTAAACTTTTGAAACTCACTTTTCCCTCTTACAGACCGTCGACCTGATGCACGTGCTTTCAATGAGTGTACCGGTGAAATTGAGGCACGAATCTTTCGAGAAACTCCGGGATTATTACCTGGCACAGTTGAAAACGAAAATGGAATCGATCGGACTGGAGTCACCGATTACAAAGGAAACCTTTCAAGTGAGGAAAATTTGAAAACTATCATCATAAAATGAACTTGGATTATCTTAAAGTGAACTTGGATTGATGACGTCCCAATAGCAATTCACATTAATTACTTTGAAACTTGTAAATTTTCAGGAAAGCTACAAGCGAATGTTGCCCTATACGGCCGCGATGGGCGTTTTCTCCGCGGGAATGTGGAGCAATTCGCCGGTAACATAGAAATATTTAAAATAATATTTATAGATATTGGGTTGGTGAATTGAAAACTGCGGGGACTTTGAGCAAAAATTTATTCAACATAAAACCATAAATTCATTCCAAATAATTTCTATTATTATTGACGACTTCTGCCCATTTCACAGGCAATTTTCGGATTCCTCTTTCGTAGTAGGATTTTGCTTTTGAATTGAAAAACTTTTGGAGACAATTTTTGACTGCTTCTTCCGAATCGAAGTGTTCTCCCGCAAGCTCATTACTCATGCTCCGGAATAAATAGTAATTAGAAGGGGCGAGGTCCGGACTGTATGAGGGATGCGCCAAAAGTTCCCAAACAAGGCCATTTATTTTAGAGTGAGTCAGTTTTGCAACATGAAGGCGCGCGTTGTCGTGGATGAGAACGATCTTTGACTTGGAGGGCCTATTCTTCTTCAAGGATTCATTCACCTTTCCCAACTGTTCACTGTATTTGATTGCACTAAGTGTCGTCTTGCTATCCGGGAACTCCCAATACAACACTCCCTCCATCTCCCAGAAAACGCAGGGCATAAACTTCTTCTGGTGCAAATCGGGCTTCATGGGTCATTTTCATTTTCGGTCATCATTGGGGTCATTTTCGGGTTTCTCACCTGGCCCCACCCATTGCCGCTTCCTCCAAAAGTTCACAGATAAAACCCATTTCGCATCTCCTGTCACAATTTGAGGAAGAAAAGATTTCCTTTCGTATCGTGAGAGATGGGCGGCACTGATCGAGGCGCGCTACCACTTCTGTGGGTCAGTGAGGTTATGGGGCACCCAAGTCCCAAATTTCGATTTAAATCCAAGGGTATGAAGGTGCCTTTGCACTGTAACATGATTAACCCCTAACTCTTCTCCCAATTCACGCGATGACACCCGATGGTCGTTGGTAATGAGTTCGAGTAATTTGGAGTCATCTAGTTGGGGTGCCGCTCCACGGCCCTCTGCAACTTTCAAAGATTTGTCCCCAGAACGAAACTTGGCAAACCATACTCGACATCTTCTTTTTGAAGGTGAGTCCTCCCCATATATCTTTTTAATATTAGCATTTGCCAACCCTGCACTGTGCTCTTGTAGGAACTTATGAGGCATGACATGACTCATGAAGGAACTCATGAAGCACATGACTCATGAAGGAACTCATGAAGCATGACATGACTCATGAAGGAACTCATGAAGCATCACATGGCTCATGAAGGAACTCATGAAGCATCACATGGCTCATGAAGGAACTCATGAAGCATCACATGGCTCATGAAGGAACTCATGAAGCATCACATGGCTCATGAAGGAACTCATGAAGCATCACATGAAGCATCACATGACGAATATGTGCAGATTGTCGAGTGCAATAGAAAAAGTGAAGAAAAATACCAAAAAATAAAAAGCTGGAACCATAATTTTTTTCGCAATAATTTGAGGAAATGTTGAAGTAAACAAACCCCTTTTCAGCTGGTTCTATGATGTTGTTTTCTTTATCTGCGAATCCCGCGAAATAGCCCGCAGTTTTCAATGCACTAACCCAATACTTCTACAGTAGATTTATTGGATCTATTAAACTATTAGATCTAACTATTAGATCTAACTATTAGATCTAACTATTAGATCTATTCTACGTTATCAGCCTACAAATTTATCCAAACATTATTACAATTTCAGGTACTGAAACGGGGAAAAGACGACGATGATGCGCGAATTAAAGAAATCATGCATCGATGCAAGGAAATTGTTGAAGAAACCGTGAAAGCTTATGATTGGAAATGAATACTTTGATTTGAAAATAGAAGTTTCAATTTTGACGAAATTGGCGATTCAGAACATTCCAGAATCGTAATGTGAATTCTTCATTCAATTTTTTTCTTGTTAAACTTTTTACTTGACTTTTTAGCTTGCCTAAAAGGTAAGATTGTCAAAAATTCAATTTTTTCCTTCCATTTTCGAAAAACAATTCAAATTTTAAACATTTTCCTCCAAATATTGTCAATAATTTTATTTTAAACATTAGAATTTCAATATATTAGGTTGGCCGAAAAGTTCTTTCCGTTTTTTGACGCTAGATCTAACTTTTTATTTTACGCATCAAAAATGCCAAATAAAAAACAGAATTTATCTACTCGAAATATTCACCGTCAACATCAATAACATCCTGCCACTTATCCGGCAACAAATCGATTCCGCGGCGGTAAAACTCACGTGGCTTCGAATCGAAAAACTGAGAAGAGTGACAAGCGCATTTCCTCGACGTTTTGAAAGATCTTTCCACGCAAATGATGCTCCAGAGGCCTGAAAAAATGATAATCGGACGATTCTGGACAAAATATAAAAATAGCTTTAAAACTGAAGCTTTAAAACTTTTGAAAAACCCTTTTGAGAAATGAGAAAATCGTTTGTGCTTTTTAAATTTTAGATCGAAATCATGCTAGAGCTACAATTAGATTTCATTTGATTCACCCATTCATTTGATTCATCAAAATCATGATAGAGCTAGAATTAGATTTCATTTGATTTACTCATCCATTTGATTCACCCATGTATCCATTTCTTAACCAATTCTTAACCAATTCTCGATCATTAATCATCCAATTTCACTCGAATCGAGGAAAAAAAAATGGGACAAAGAAGAGTGGAAAATGTGGAGTGTTTGTGGGGGTGTCGGGTCGTTTTTTCTTTTCTTTTCCTTTTCTTTTCCTCCTCTTTTCCTTTTCTTTTCCTTTCCACATCATCAAATTCCTCAATCCTAAATTCCCCCTCAATCAAATCTGTTCTTGAGAGGTTCTGATTTTTGATTCACTGATGAGTGAGTCTTTTAAAGTCTCAGCTGATCTTTTTTCAAATTAAAATCGTTTTCAAAAGTTTTCAGCTTAATTACGCAGACTTAACGCCAATTCAACGCTTTTTATCAATTTGTTATTATTCGAAAAGTTAATGTTTCAATTTTTTCGATTCCAGTTGCACAAATGAGTGTTTAATGGGCGGATGTGACGGCAAGAATAAAATCGCTCCATAATATTCTTACAATTTGGTGGCAAGTGGCAACCCAAGTGATTCATCTCAAAAATAACCGCTTTATCTGGTTTAGTTGCATCTATTAGGTTGGCAACTAAATAATGGCCCTCGCCCTTTTTTGATAAAATCTTTTAATCTTTGCGTTTAATCTACCCTCGCTTGTTGTTAATTGAATATTACTGAATTTCTGGTGCATTATTATACGTTTTTTACTTTCCTTGATTTGATACTTTTCAAATAATTTTGTTTAGAAATGGAAGATCTCAAATATCGAATGCGTGTCTGTCTCTGGTACGACTACAAACAAGACAAAACAGCTGCCGAATCCCACAGAGATTTATTGCGAGTTTTTGGTGATGAAGCTCTTTCCGAAACACAATGTAAGAGATGGTATCGACGGTTCAAGGAAGGGGATGAAAGTCTTGAAGATGAGCCTCGCTAAGGACGACCCGAAACTTCTGCAGAACGATATTTTGGAAGCAGCTTTAAAGGAGGATCCAAGTCAAACATCACGCGAGCTAGGGGATCGATTGGGCTTTTCGCATACTGCAATCGAAAAGCGACTTTATGCATTGGGGAAAAGTAACCGCAGTGGAAAGTGGATTCCGCATGAATTGAGCGAAGAAAATAAGGCTACTCGTGTTATCACAGCTGGAATACTACTAAAACTTGCGAAAAAGAGAAGCTTCTTGGATTCCATTGTCACTTCTGATGAAAAATGGATCTTTTATGATAATCGAACGCGAAAACGATAGTGGCTTAGCACAAACGAAGACCCAAAACCAACTCCGAAGCCGGATATTCACTCAAAGAAAACTCTCCTCTGTGTGTGGTGGAGTTCTCGTGGGTTGGTGCATTTCGAGGTTCTCAAAAGCCGGCAAACGGTTAATTCAGAACTCTATTCGTCTCAACTACATCGTGTAGATCAAGCAATTCGCTCTCAAGGACTCGAACCCTCTTCAATTCATTTTCTCCATGATAACGCAAAACCACACACTGCAAAACTTACAATGGAGAAAATCGAGGAGTTGGGCTGGAATGTTCTTCCTCATGCGCCATACAGCTCGGATATGGGGCCTAGTGATTACCATCTTTTTCGATCGATGCAACACTTTCTAGCCGAGAAAAAGTTCAATGACCTTGACGAAGTCCGAATTTCAGTGCAGAAAGTTCTTTGACGATCAACCAGAAGAATTTTTCAAGAGAGGAATCCAGTTGCTCCGTCAAAAGTGGAAAGAAGTAATAAAGAATGACGGAGAATACCTTTTGGATTGATGTTGATATTTGTTCATCTTGTTAATAAATTTTTTGTTTTTACTGAAAAGGGCCATTATTTAGTTGCCAACCTGATAATAGCTTTAGCTTTAGCTTATAGCTTTATAACGCCAGAAATAACGTTCAATTTCAAATCATTGAATGAAAAAGTTTAAACGTTTAAACGGTTTTAAAGAGAGCCAAAAAATTCGCTTAAAATTTGACCTTCTAGTGAAAAATCTTTCATTTCACATATAAAGAGTAGCTAATAGAAATTCGTTTTGAATAGAATGGCCTAATAGCAGTTTAGAACAGTTTCTAAACAGTTTTCTGTTTAGAAGTCTAAGCCTTTCTCGGCAGCCTAATAGCTAAACATTTCAGCTTGTCAAACTTGTTTTGTTCAGCTTTAAAATATAGAAGTATCAGCTTTAAAATAGCATCCGAATCGCTCACTGATCATCGCTTGTTTGCCTAGGTTGTCATTTGTCATCTCTATAAAAACCCCAAATGAATAAATCAGAAATGAAACCAATAAAATATCCAGAGGATCAAATTTCCTCTTTTTATTTTTCCATTTCCCTTTCTTGATGGGATTTCAGGGATAAATGCCTTTTCTGAGGGTGGACTCTATTAATGAAAAATGGAGTGGACACAAAAGCGCAAACAAAAAAAACTTGATGTCTCTTTTATTGCAAAATACGAATGCTGTTTTTGATAGCTTTATCAATAATTAATCCCGAAAAAATGACTTTGAGTGATCTATTGCGTCAATGATGTTATTATTTTTAGATCATTGTGATTCTTGGCGTAATTTGTGCTCACTTTGCAAACACACCATTTCTAGAGCATTGATTCTGCGTTTTTTTTTGAGAAATCGAGTTGTTAAACTCAAATAATATAAAATCATATCGCTAATTGATCATCATCATTCTCATTTCTACTAGTTAACGTTGAAGCAAGGTTTTTTTAAAGGTTCCCCAAGAAATCTAACGAACTAAGTGCTAACAAGAGTTTATTTTAACTAGTTAATGTTGGAACAAGGTTTTTTAAAGGTTCCCCAAGAAATTTAACGAATTAAGTGCTAACAAGAGTTTATTTCTACTAGTTAACGTTGAAACAAGGTTTCTTTTCAAGGTTTTTTTTAGAGATTCCCTAAGAAATCTAACGAACTAAGTGCTAACAAGAGTTTATTTCTACTAGTTAACGTTGAAGCAAGGTTTTTTTAAAGGTTCCCCACAAAATTTAACGAATTAAGTGCAAAAAAGAGTTTATTTTCAACTTTTCAACACAAATAACAGCTTGAAAAAGATGAAATGAATATTTTAAAACACGTTTAAAAGATGTTTTTTCAAATTTCCATTTAGTAAAATGACCAAAAGGCAATGCTTTACATGCGAACGAAATTTTGCTTTGGCTTTGGCTCAGACGACAAACGAAATTTTGCTTTGGCTCAAGCTCAGATGACAAACAAAATTTTGACACAATCACTCAAAAGTTTGAGTTTTTTTTTGCCTCAAATCTAAGCAATCACTTTTGCAAAACAATTTTCCTTAGCAAAAGAAAGCTGTTGAAAGCTGTAGCTGTTTTCTCAAGAAAATTCTTCTACTTTGAGGTAAACAACTAAAAATGGATCGCAAATTACTTTGTCGTATCGGGGAAAGAATCGGGGAAGGAGGGAATTCTCAATGATCAAAGCAGAATAAAAAAAACGTTGTTATTTGGCGTTATTATAAAAACGTTATTAGTTTCAATGTGTTGGATAGCTGAAGTTGACTAATTTCGACAATTAATGTCAACGATTGGACACTTGATACTCGCCCCACCACTTTTCCCATTAGTAATCTAACTTTAAGCTCAGATATCTTGTGTTGGGCTGTTCAATTTTAATATTCTTTATATCATTAGATACGCCAAGTCTTTCTCTGTCGATTGGTACAAAAACTATTTAAATTGGCCAGCTCAACGCCAAGAAATTTAAGCTTAAAGTTAGATTGCCAATGGCAAAAGGGGCGGGGCGCGTATCAAATGTCCCACAATCATTATTTTCAAGTCTTTCCTATTGTTTATCATTTTCCAAAACTTACAATTGGTTTTTCTTGTAGTCAAAATTTAGCTCAGTATCCAGTTAGATTGAAACATAAGTTTTTTTACTTTTCCGCTTCATCAGTTGATGTTTTGACGTTTAGCATAATGTGCTTTTTATTTTGTTTTTAAATTTATCTGCAACTAAAACTCAATCGATCTAGACTGTGCTGAGGTGTCTGATGAGTGACGATCTTGTTTTTTCCAAGCCTTGCAGCGTCTCCAAAAATTTGTAAACCCATCAAATCACTCTAGCCGGGTGATTTTTATTCTTTTTATAATAAAATCAACGATATTAAAATAAAAAAACAGGTGGTTGCCGTAAAAAATTTTTTATGGTCACCCGGCCGTGATTAATACCCCTCTTTAACCCATTCGAAACCGCAGCATTTTTCCTTTTTTTTCGTCTACGGACCAAG